AAAAAAAAAAAAAAGAATATCTATTCTTAAAAGCCTATGAGATTTGAGAGCTTTTCCTTTGAGAATGGGAATGAAAAAAGGATGTCCACTATCATCAGTTCTATTAGGCATTGTGCTAGAAAAGAAGACTCGGCACCTGTAGCTCAAGCAGCTAAGGCACCAGCCACATACACCTGAGGTGGCAGGTTCAAATCCAACCCAGGCCTGCCAAACAATAATGATGACTGCAACCAAAAAATAGCTGGGAGTTGTGGCAGGCACCTGTAGTCCCAGCTACTTAGGAGGCAGAGGTAGGAGAATTGCTTGAGTCCAGGAGTTGAAGATTCCTGTGAGCTGTGATGCCATAGCACTCTACCCTGGGTGACAGCTTGAGGCTCTGTCTCAAAAAAAAAAAGAAAAAGAATAAGGAAAGAAGAAAGGTATAACATTTGGAAGGAAATAAAGAAATTATCTTGGCTTGGCGCCTGTGGCTCAAGCGGCTAAGGCACCGGCCACAAACACTTAAGGTGGCGGGTTCAAATCCAGCCCGGGCCCGCCAAACAACAATGACAGCTGCAACCAAAAAATAGCCAGATGTTGTGTCAGGCGTCTGTGGTCCCAGCTACTTGGGAGGCTGAGGCAGTAGATTTGCTTGAGCCCAGGAGTTGGAGGTTACTGTGAGCTGCGATGCCACAGCACTCTACCCAGGGGGACAGCTTGAGGCTCTGTCTCAAAAAAAAAAAAAAAAAAGAAATTATCTTTGTTCTCAGATGATATGATTGCATAGAAAATCTAAAATAATATACACAAATTATAAGAATAAAAAAGTGTAGCAAATTTTTTATTTAAGAAAGGATTAATAGCATTTTTTATGTGTTGGCAAATAGAAAATGAAAAAAAATTTTTTGAGACAGAGTCTCACTTTTTGACCCTGGCTAGAGTGCCATGGTTTCAGTCTAGCTCATAGCAACCTTAAACTCATGGAGTTTAAGCAATCTTCCTGCCTCAGCCTCCTGAGCAGCTAGGTCTACTGCACCCGCCACAAAACAGGATAATTTTTCTATTTTTAGTAGAGACAGGGTCTTGCTCTTGGTAAGGCTGGTCTGGAACTTCTGAGCTCCAGGGATCCTCCTGCTTTGACCTCTCAGAGTGCTAGGATTATAGGCATGAGCCACCATGCCTGGCCATAAAATGTAATTTTTTTTAAAAAAGTTACTATTTATAATAGTATGGAAAATATCAGCACTTAGGAATATGTCTAAGAAAAGAGGCATAAGAAAATTATAATACTGAGAGACATTAAAGAACTAAATACACACACACCTCATACATTAGAGGATTCAATACTGTAAAGATAAAAATCTGCCCAAATTGACCTATAGATTTAATGTAATTCCAGCTAACATTTTAAAACATTATGTGTATTATGTGTGCTGCATATGAGTTCATGTGGGTATGTGTATTTAACTTGACAAAGTAATTGTAAAATTAATACAGGAATCCAAAAGGCCAAGAATAGCCAAGATATCTCAGAAAAGAAGAATAAGGTGAAAATATTTTCTCTACAAATATTAACATTCATATAGAGCTAAAGTCATCAAAATAGCATGGTATTAGCACAAAGACACACAACCAGAACAATGGAACAGAAAAGAAAGCTCAGAAATATACCACACATAAATAGGTATTTTTATTACCCAGGTGACAATATTGTCCAATGAATGGGTATCCTTTACAGAAGATATCCTTTCCAGAAAATTGGATGTCAATATAAAAAAATAAATATAATAAAAGTGGACCTCTACCTTATACTATATATAAATTACTGAGCTCTGTCCTTACTTCGGGAAAAGTTAAAGGAGAAAGTTACCAGAGAGCTCACGTTGTCCACCCATCTATAGATCTTATCACAAAATAAAAAGTTTAAGAATTTTTAATTCCTTTGTCCCCAGGGGCCAACTGGATCCTTCAATAGAGGATATGCTCACAGGAGTTACCTTAATGTTTTCTTCCTGAAGTAAGCTATTATGTTGCTTTAAGTCCAAGTTTTTTCCTCGCTCATATCGAAGCTCTTTTTCAGCAGAGTTGCATAGAACCTGGAGCCGGTTCAAATTCTGACGAAGTTGTTTAATTTCCTCTTGCTGCTGGTCTTTTAGTTTTTCTCTAGATGATGGACACTAAAGCAAACGTTTTAAAAGGAAAAACATGGACAATTTGAAAGACGATTTGTAAAACAGGTTCAAGCTGTCAGAACCAGAATTGTCAGAATGTGATTATTCACAGGTTAATGTTTTTAGAGTTAACTTATCTCCAAAAAAATTACTCTTTTACATTTACAGCTATTTGGTACATGTTTATATGATCTGACTCCTGTTATATTAGAGTGGAAATACCAGAAAAATTATGTGAACAAAAGCAGTTAGGCACAGACAAGTAACCTTCTTATTTTTCGTATCAATGAAGAGCAACAGAAGCATGGACAATTTTAGGGTAAAACATGCTTAAAATGGGGAGTCCAAAGAGTCAATATGTGAAGTAGAGCATAAGTGAGTGTGAATGTGTGTGTGTGGTGTCTGCTGACAAGAAGAAAGAAAAAGAAAACTTAGTAAGAAACCTTAAGTTCCTAGCTTCTTCATCACTTTTCCTTTTACTATCTGATGACGGTTCTCCAATTAGTACTCAACACATTCTCTTTTAAGGATGAATAGTGTCTTTACCCATTCATCCATTGATGAACATTTAGGTTAATTCCATAACTTAGTTAAATAACATGGGATTACAGATATCTCTTCAAAATATTTATTTCCGGCTCGGTGCCTGCGGCTCAAGTGGCTAAGGTGCCAGCCACGTACACCTAAGGTGGTGGGTTCGAATCCAGCCTGGGCCCGCCGAACAACAATGACGACTGCAACCAAAAAATAGCTGGGCGCCTGTAGTCGTAGCTATTTGGGAGGCTGAGGCAAGAGACTCACTTGAGCCCAGGAGTTGAGGTTGCTGTGAGCTGTGATGCCATAGCACTCTACCCAGGGGGAGAGCTTAAGGCTCTGTCTCAAAAAAAAAAAAAATTATTTCTAATCCCTTGGAAATATACCTCCAAGGAGTGGAACTGCTGGATCATACAGCAGTTGTTTTTAATTTGGGGGGGAACCTCTATAGTATTTTCCATAATAGCTTTACTAATTTACATTCCTGCCCATAGTGTGTAAATGTTCCATTTTCTTCATATCCTTCTCAACATTTATCCTTTGTCTTTTTGATAATAGCCATTCTAATAAGTGTGAGGTTTGATATCTCCATTGTAGTTTTAATTTCCATTTCCCTAGTAATCAGCAATATGGACGTCTTATTTTGAGAAATGTCTATTCAGGTCCTTGGCTTATTTTTATATTGGGGTGTTTCCTTGCTATTTTGTTGTTTGAGTTCATTACATATTTTGGATATTAACTCCTTATCAAATGTATGGTTTACAAATATTTTCTCCCACTTCATAGGTTGTTTCTTTATTGTTTCCTGTACAGAAGCTTTTTAATTGGAGGCTATCTTATTTATCTATTTTTGCTTTTGTGGATTGTGCTTTTGGGGTCATACTCAAAAAAATCTTTACAAAGACTAATATCAAATTTTTTCCCAAAGTGTCAATCAACAGATGAATGGATAAAGGAAATATGGTACACAGACACACACACACATGCATGTGCACGCGTGCACACGAGGAATACTGTTCAGCCTTAAAAAAGAAAGAAATCCTATCATTTGCAACAACATGGATGAACTTGGAGGATGTCAGACACAGAAAGACAAATACTGCATGATCTCGTTTATGTAGAGAATCTAAAAATGTTGAACACATGGAAGTGGAGAGTAGAATAGTGGTTGCCAGGGACCAGAGAGGGGGGATGTAGAATGAGAGGATGTTAGTCAAAAGATGTAAAGTTTCAGACAGGATGACTAAGTCCTCAAGATTTACTGTATAGCATGGTGACTGTATTTAATAATAATGTATTGTGTTCCTGAAAATTGCTAAAAGAGTAAATCTTAAATGTTCTCATCACAAAAAGGTATGTTAGGTGATAGATGTTAATGAGCTTCACTTAATCATTTCACAATGTATATACTTAAATCAAAACACCACATCATATACCATATACAAGTACATATATACAACATTTTTGTCAATTACATCTTAATAAAGCAGAAAAAAATAAAGGCACATGTACAAAACAACAGCAATATACTCCACTATCGGCCTCTCCAGTGCAATAAAATAGTAGTAATTTGTATTTTCTACAAAAGGTAGGTATACACAGGTGTGCTGAGTAGATAAAGAATATTATATAATTCAACAGATAAGATATACTGAGCATTTCCTTAGTTCTGGTCCAGTATGCTGTCTACAGCTTTCTGAAAAGCCACGGTCATTGTTTTACTTTTATCTTGCTTATGTTGCTTAGACAACACAGAACTCCCCAAGTTTTGTTAGCCCTTAATTCCTATTTTGGTTTAGTTACAAAGGCAATCTAAATCTAGTTTGCTTCTTTTAGAGTTGCAAGACTCTAAGATCCCTACATGAAGTTCTTTAATGGATTATAATGTAATTATTAGGAACTTCAGCTTTGGAATTAGATGTACTTGGGTTTCAGTCTTGAATCTACCATTTACCAGTTGGATGATTTTGGAAGATTATCTCATCTTTCTGCATTTCAGTTTCTTCATCTTAAAATGTGGATAACAATGATAACTTCTGGATGGAGTGAACGGTACTTAAGGTAACACATGCAAGTACTCAGCACAATGCCTGGCACTTAATAAACACTCAGTACATTACCCATCATCGCTGATGCAACCTACGTACATTAACTGCCTTCATCTTCCACCTGAAAACAATTTGGAATGCCTTAATCACCACTCTACCTTCTTGTTTAACCATTTTACAACAGCTTTTTAATAATTAATTAGTAATCAGCAGCTTATAGAACCATTTAATATACCAAAATAGATATGCTGTATGTAGAAACACCACATTTATACCAATGGGGCAAAAGCACAGAACTTTTAGCCTATCATGTTCGGAAAAGTCAGAAGGGTCGGGCTCGGCGCCTGTGGCTCAAGCAGCTAAGGCGCCAGCCACATACACCCAAGGTGGCGGGTTCAAATCCCCAGCCCGGGCCCGCCAAACAACAATGATGGCTGCAACCTAAAAATGGCCAGGCGTTGTGGCAGGCGCCTGTAGTCCCAGCTACTTGGGAGGCTGAG